GCATAATAAGATAATTGAAGAAATACTAAGAAATAATTTTAGAAGGTCCCTGAAAGTTAACTTAAACAGATCTGTTAAATCTGCCACAAACTGTATCACTTAGATAGGGCTTCTGCTGTACACAAAAGAGAGATACTAATACAAACTAAACAAAATAATTAAAACGGTAAGAACCTGCAAAACCCTTGAATGCTTGCAAGAGTACTACTGTTCATTTGGGAGAAAATACAAAGTTTTATTCTTTGCTGTTATATTAGCATCTTTGAAAAATAATTGTATAAGATGAGCTTTTTACATGTGCTCGTATATGCGCTGAAAATTCTTGGGCTTTGTTAATGTTCTTATGCTTTAGGTTGCAACAGTCATTGCATAACTGTATGTTATTTGTACAGTTTTGTTTTATTAATATATTTAAATATTTAAAAGAGATCTCTGATTGTAGTCCTTGAAAACAAACAAACAAAAAAACTTCAATAAAAAGTGTAATTGTTTGGCTTTTATTATTTAACCTAACAGTGAAAACTGAATGCATGCAGTTTTACTGTTTTTTTTTTCCCGAGATATTTATTTTTTTCTGTAACAAATCTGAAAGAAAATGCTTTTATAGTAATTATTTAAGAAATATATTAAATTACTTTGTTTATTTTTTATTCAGTGTTTTATTAACGGGATTATTCACCCAAAAATTATAATTTTGTCCTTTACTCATGTTGTAACCAAACAGTTGCTGGTAGCCATTAACTTCCATAGTATGGAAAAAAAAATTACTATGGAAGTTCAGTGGCTAACAACTTGAGGGTGAGTAAATGATAATAGAATAAAAATTTTTGGGTGAACTATCCCTTTTATGATAAGTACAGTAAGAACCATATGTGCCAAAGTTTGCAACAATAGAAAGAAACATCAAACAAGATGATTGTATACTGATTTGTTGATTGGCCAAACCAAAATAACGAAGGTACCACTGCCTAATCTATGTAATTGTTGATTCTCACCGAGGTTTCTTTCCAGTTGGTGCCGTCATAGTCATAGATCTGCAGAAGGACGCTGTCCTGTCGGCGTGGAAGCCATTGAACAGCCAGTCGTTCATCTGTGACCCAGGTGACTGTTCTCAGATAGTGATCGCTGGGAAAAGAGCAATAAAATAACATTACTCTGAACTCTAATGCTGTGAAAGCTTATGTTTCAGAGACGTAAGGCTTTGTGTGAACATGTGAAGTAGAAACATAAGAGGGACACACCCTATGCCGACGGATTTCGGTACCACCACTTCTGATTGTCTGGACGGATTTTCCACATCAATCACAAACAGCCTTGCTCTGGGAATAACACAGCCTGCCTTTGTAAGCAGAGCAACCGTTTAGTAGCATAATGATATTTTGAATGAAATTGTAAAATGAGAACAGCAGAGATCAAGCTGTCATCATACAATATTTTAAACAAATTAGTTCAATTAGAAAACCAAAGACACTTGGACCAACAATGTTTCACCTTGCAAAATTATGGATTTTAAACAAAATAACAATATTGAAATATAAAAATATGCTTTTGTATGTTATAAACTCAAAATAAACTAAATTAAATCATAAAATCACTGGGATATTTGCTTACTTTTGGGTAGGGGATAAATACTGTGGTGGGATACTGGTCATTTCCATACAACGAGTATTCGATGTTGTGAACTCCAGTGTCATTGATTTGTAGATAAGCCAGATATTTCCCCTGCGGAGACCACCAGATGGCTTCGTTGGATGCAAAAACTTCCTCTGTCCAGCAAGAAAAGCAGCAGATGGCACATTAGCAGGTATGAATGAATGTCTGTGTGTGTGAATGCATTATATGATGTTACCTTCATAAACCCAGTCTGGAACCCCATTGTGAATTTTGTTAACTTTTCCATTATGAGTGACTTGTATGGCCTCGGCAGTGGCGTTCTTTTTGAGGTAAATATTATAATCCCAGACGTAAGCCTGCAGATAATGCATGGTAATTAACACAAAATAAGGCCATCAACCTGGGTCTGCATATGAAAAAAAGTCTGTATGGTTAAATCTAGCACATTTACATGCTGGACACAAGTACTCATGTCACTTAAAGGGGTCATATGATTTAAATTTCAATTTTTCCTTTCTCTTTGGAGTGTTACAAGCTCTTGGTGCATAAAGAAGATCTGTAAAGTTGCAAAGACTAAAGTCTCAAATCCAAAGAGATATTCTTTATAAAAGTTCAGAGTCTTATATTTAAAAAAAAATATATTTTATATTTTTGAGCAGTGTAGAGTAGGGCTTGTTGTTTGTCATTTTCTCCGATCACAAATGCAGACATGGTTTTATGTTTACGCGGCCTGTCCCTTTTAAAATAAAATAAACATAAAAAGGCTAAAAAAAAAAATCATAAACCATGCATAAGTTGAATAACATTAACAATGAATAAAATGTATTGTTATAAATAAAATGTAAAAATAAAAGTAACGATAAAATGTAAAAATAACTCCGGGTTTTTATTCAGAATTCTTTGCAATGATTTGAGCTAGAACTAGAGCCTTCCAATAATGTAATATAATAATTGGAGGGTGATTGTTACGATCTGTATATATATATTTTTTTGTTGTTACTGTTTGTAACTCACCAGTTTATTTCCTACTGGTGCCCACACTAAGAACTGTGTAACAGGTGGAATCTGAACCTTGGAGAGAAATTCCCTAAATCCAACAGAAAACAAAGACACATTAAAGTGAGCATCACATTATCAATTGTTGGAATTAATATATTCAAACTGTTATACGTATTAGTGTACTAAAGTCTTCAATGAAACAAACAAAACATTTTCTTAGACTACATTTGACCTTAAACTCAATCACGCTGAACACTCTCAGAACAAAAAAGGTACAAAAGCTGTCACTGGGGAGCTGGGGCCCTTTCAAAAGGTACTAACATGTACCATTTAGGTACTAATACATACATTTTGAGTATTAATATGTACCTTTAAGGTACTAATATGCACCATTTAGGGGTTAATACAGTACCTTTTGAAAATGTACTGCACCAGTGATGACTTTTGTACCTTTTTTTTCTGAGAGTGTTCAGTGTGATTGAGTTTAAGGTAAAATGTAATCTAAGAAAATGTTTTGTTTGTGAGCGCCTATAACTCTGTTCTGTTTTAAGTCCAGCAGCTGTGAACAATATCTGTGTGAGTTAGTTTGAAATACACTGAAACATGTTCAGGAGTTCCTAGTTCTGGAAGTCACAATTTCAGAATGATATAGGTTTTCCGTGCGCATGGGAACCCTGTATTTTGATAGACGTATTATAGTGACATCTTTACTCACCGAGACTCCATGTTATACATATGGTAGGAAGCAGTGAAGGAGTGTCGCCATAGCTGTTGATGCATTTCAAATGTGTTACAAACATCAGCTTGAGCCACTTATGCAGTGTTTTGGGTTTTATTGCAGTCAAGTTACCTTTGAGTAATTGCTCTCAAAGACGACAAACCTTTTGTCTGCTGACAATATGTAATCTGTGGCATCCACTTGGGCCTGAAAATCAGTTCACAGTACATGAGTGGAACTTACATGCATGTTAAACATGAAGAAAAGATGTAAGAAATGAGATAATGAAATATCAGAGCCTATTTAATGAGAAATTATGAAGAATAAAGGTTTTGTGAAGAGTCATTCAAACCCTCATATGAGGCAACCTACAAATGTTGAGTTGCTCAGGTACACTGAGCTTTCCTTCGTTTCAGCATTGTGCAAGTAAATATGGCCTTCGCTGGTTTTGTGGAGGTATTCATTGTCTAGTGGAAAATAAGACAGCGGAGTATGTGTGTCAGGGTGATTTAGAGGTCATTACAAAAAAAAAACAGGGAGCATGTGAAGTGCCTTAAGGTGTCGTACCTGATATCCAGTGGAGACTGTATGTTTTATACCTGATGGTATCATTGTAGAAATCATTAAAAGAATACGTTCTCTTTAATGCAGACTCATCTCCTGAAAACACAGTAAAGGAAACCAGTTCAAGTTTCAGTCTTCAAAAATTCCGACCAAAATGCACATTTGATCGTTTCTATAGATTTTATTTGATATATCTATTTTTATTTAATATATTTATAAAATATAGTAGTCAACATTTGAAGTGGATCCAAAAATTGATCAAAGTTGTCCTAAGACAAGAACGGGTATTGTTTTGGTTTTAGGACAACTTTGATGAAAGATTTTGATCCACTCCAAATGTTGACTAGCCTACTGTATATTTCGACCTTCCCACAAGAACGACAGTTTCTTTACTGTTCACATGGTGGCGCTATTGTGTCAGCGCATTTTTCCCCTAGAATGTTTTATCACAATATGTGCTATTAATACGGATACATCGTGACAAGTAAATCTCCAACGTGCTAAATTACGACAGTTTTACGTTTCGTTTATTTACCTTCCTAAAGAGACAGCGATCGTGCAGCTGTTGCTATGGTTACCTCTTCAGGGTTTCCAGTTTCTTTGCATTCGGACTAACTTTTGAGATTGCGATGTTTGAAAATGCTTATTCGACATTTTTCACTATATTATAGCTTTACACATCACAAAAAAGTTACTTAAGTGTGTTCTGTTTATTAAGGTTGCAAGAAAATGTATGTTAAGGAGGACACAAAAACATTATGCGGGAGATATAGCGACGAACCTCGGGGTAACAACGCCGCAAAAATGGGAAAACAACAATATTTTGTCATTTATCTCTACAAGTCTGCTTAATTATTTGAATCTTACAAAAAATGCCATGGTAAACATGGTTAACTGTCGCTTCCCTATTAAACAGTGGACACAGTGATGCCAGAAAATAAGTCTAATACAAAGTTTTGCTTACTAGGTTGTGAGGTACAGACACTATACATGCTTTAAAATGATTCCTTACAAATGATTTCAAATTTCAGGTGAGAATGAAGAAGAAGAAGATGCCACTCACTGTTTACGTAAATTGCCGTGGGAATAACGATGAGCGTGATGACGACAAGCGCCCCGACCAGCGCCACGCACACCTTATTACAGCCCTACAGGTGAGGCCAAAAACACTGCGTTTCACAAATCACCTCAGAAAGAGTTACTTTATTAAAACAGGTTTTAATTGCTCAAGCTATCACAGAAGTCGCGTTCCGTCACACCCAACCTTTTTTTTTTTTTTTTACCCAAATAACTTTTTAGTCCACAGGGTGTGTAGCTACAAAACACAACACTGTTCAGGAAAACAACAAGTAGCTACTGACCATAATTGCGCAGGAACGTCTAAAACGCGCATCCAATCTCTAGGAATCCGCTGACGCTGAATATTTCTGACCTCCAGTTGTCCTTAAACAGATCGTTAGACGCCTTTGTACGCGATAATGCAAGAGTTAGACAGACAGCTGCGCTTTATTCCGTCCGATTGCAACTTTCCAGGTTAAAAATGTACTTTCTCCGATGCATCATTGAGTCTGGAGTGAAGGAAGGGTGGCAAAACTTCCTCAGAACCCGCATTCCGCGCAACTTCCCATCGGAGTGCGTTTAGCATGTGCTTCTTCTCTTCGTGAGCGCCTATAACTCTGTTCTGGTTAAGTCCAGCAGCTGTGACTCTCAGCACAACCGGTCTGCTTTGACTGTAAGAGATCAAATTTACAGACTTGACTTTCATTTCAGTGACAATAAACTTGAGTTGATCTCATTAAATGCAAATGGGGTCCAAAAGTTTTAAGACCACCAGAGGAAATGCTTCAGTGCATTGTTTTATAAAACAAGACAAACATTTTCATGACATATTTGATAGTAATTTAATAGCAGCGTGATCTTGAGCTGGCATGAACTCCAGTAGGCTAGTTTGTGCAAAACATGATGAGCAGGTTCTCCAGCGTATTTAAGATGGTTCAGAAAGCATCTTGGACATCAGTGCATGGAAGAACATCTAACCTTAAAAGTGTCACGCATAATCTACTGATTTGATTAGTCACAGAGAAATAGTGAAGAGTGTTAAATATGAAATACTTTTTCTTAAGAAAAGTTGCTTCGGAAACTTTCTTGCATCATAACTTGTCTTTTAAAAAAACGATCAGGCTTTCAGCATGATGTTAGAGTTTTGGACTGTACCGTGCACGTTCAATTCAATTCAAGTTTATTTGTATAGCACTTTTCATGATACACATCTTTGCAAAGCAACTTTACAGCAAATTAAGTTTCTACAATATTTATTGGTAGCTTATCAGTGGTGACTGTCAGTTAATGTACATATGGCAGAACTGTACGGAAAAATCAATTAAAGACGTAATCAAACAGACGATGAACACTATTAACAGCAATTATTATATGATGCAATCAAACTTATAGCAAAATGTGGTAGTTCTGTATGTTGTTTCAGGGTTGGCATCATCTGAGGGGTTGGCAGTATCTCTTCTCAGGTGTTCTGGAGCCAGACTGAAGCTTGTGTAAATCCTAGCAGAAACAGAGAAACAAATAGAGACATACAGTGGTGTGAAAAAGTGTTGGCCCCCTTCCTGATTTTTTGTTCTTTTGCATGTTTGTCACACTTTAATGTTTCAGATCATCAAACAAATTTAAATATTAGTAAAAGATAACACAGCGTAGCACCAACCAAGCAAAATTGGTTTGTTTAACCCAAGCTAAAGAATAATAATGTGCATTTGATCAGATATAACTGCAGTACAAGATTATGAGATGCATTATTTGAATGCTTGGCCAAAGAGATATGTCTTTAATCTAGATTTAAACAGAGAGAGTGTCTGAACCCCGAACGTTATCAGGAAGACTATTCCAGAGTTTGGGAGCCAAATGCAAAAAAGCTCTACCTCGTTTAGTGGACTTTGCTATCCTAGGTACTACCAAAAGTCCAGAGTTTTGTGACCTTAGGGAGCGTGATGGATTGTAGCGTGGTAGAAGACTAGTTAGGTACGCAGGAGCTAGCCCATTAAGGGCCTTATAGGCAAGTAATAATATTTTGTAACTGATACGGAACTTAATAGGTAGCCAGTGCAGAGACTGTAAAATTGGGGTAATATGATCATATTTTCTTGACCTGGTAAGGACTCTAGCTGCTGCATTTTGGACTACCTGTAGCTTGTTTATTGAAGATGCAGGACAGCCACCTAGCAGTGCATTACAATAGTTCAGTCTAGAGGTCATGAATGCATGAACTAGCTTTTCTGCATCAGAAACAGGTTACATGTTTCGTAACTTGGCAATGTTTCTAAGTTGGAAGAATGCTGTTTTTGTAACATGGGAAATATGATTTTGAAAAGACAAGTTGCTATCTAATATAACACCCAGATTTTTGACTGTAGAGGAAGTAACAGTACACCCGTCTAGTTGCAAATTGTAATCCAAGAGATTCTGTGTACTGTCTTTTGGTCCAATAAGTAATATCTCTGTCTTATCCGAATTTAATAAGAGAAAATTATTGGTCATCCAATCTTTTACATTTTTTTTTACACGTTCAGTTTAGAGCATCAATGCTTTTAGGTAAATTGATTTATATTGCAGTTTTCAAAATATTCATGCAAGTACAACTGCAGAAGTGTTCTACAAATTCTTACATGTAATTATAGATGTAGCCATAACAATGAATACTGGATAATATGAATTTTATGTTTCTTTTACTGTATGTTTGTTTAGTTTTTATTGAGGACATGCATTACTAGTCGAAAGTTTGCACGTAATTTGAAAACCTTTGATTTATTTAAATACAGAAAAAATATTTGTAAACAAACGTTCCCTATGTATTTTTAAAATAGGCATCATAATAATATTAAATGTATAGCATTATATATTTACATATATAATATAGTATATATAATACATATTAAATACAATATTTATACATATTTATAATATTTGTTACAAATTTATAGAATTTTAAATTTCATTTCCAAAGTGAGCAGAGCTGGACAAAGAAGAAGCTGGAATATAAGCAATAATTCAATTGTGTCACATTTTGATCACTACATCATTCCCAAACTTCCATTTGTGTTATATCAGAGTTGTTAGCATTTTACTATCATTCCAACATGTAGAAAATGATCACAATAAAGGTGAAGGCGTCTTTAAATTTGCATTGATTGCGTATGTGTTTAAAGAATGTATCGACACATGTCAACTAAGGAGGTACACTGGAAAAACTTGTTGAGCCTTCAGGACTTGTCAAGCATAATGAGAGTTTCCTGACAGGTTTTCTCAGGTGATGTTTGCTCACTGGGAGCCCGTGTCCCCCTGAGAACACCTGAACAGGTGTGTGAGAGAGTATGTGTCACACTCTTCCCTGATGGTCCATCTCTCTTTTTTTTTTCTTCAGTGAATGCATGATTCATAATCAAAGACCGTTCATGCGAGAAAGAAAACAGATGACACAAAAAGGGTCATTTTAATGTATTTACTCCAAATAACACAATGTACCATATTCTCTAGAGGCAAATCTAAATACACGGACATTCTCAAAACACAAAATCAGTATTTGTCACAGACTGCCATTGCACAGCTTCACTGTGCTTCCACAATTGCAAGATGTAAACTCAGAATTGTGAGATAAAAAGTGCATTAGAATCACAATTTCAAAAGTGCCACTAGAGATGAAATAAATGATAGAAATAACAGCTTCCATTGAGCCACATCATGTTGAGTAGTGCAAGTGCTTTTAATAGAATAGACTTGGTAGATGAATCGTTTTCCAGGTTATGACATCTGATTGAATGTGTCAGAGATGAGTTTGAAAATCTTCTGCTCTTTATTTTTAGTCAGTTTCCATGTCTTCTTCTTCCCCCGAGTCCTCTACGAGGAGATCAGCGTGTTGAGTGTAATCAAACGCAGGGAACTTTATGGGCAACTCGCTCCATTTGCTGAATGTCTTCTTCTTGGAGCCGTACGTGACCACAAAGTTCTTGATATGGAGGCAGGGACACTCAATGCTCTTATACAGCATCATTGAGCCCCATTGCTGCTCAGGAACGAGACACAAGGTAAGCTTTAATATGAATGCATATTAAAGGAATTGCATACTGTATGATGTATAGGCTGGGTGACATACAAAATGTTTTACTATATATATTTTTGATTATTGTGTTATCTGTATAAAATTGCATCATGAAACTTTACTGTAAGACTTTGCAAAACACGCCTTTAACACATCTTTATTTAACTAAATTTTACTTCTTGTGTGAAGCAGCTTGAATCTACTTAGCTACATTGAAAACCACCCCAGTTTTTGCTATTCAAATCAGATACATAAATATCAAAATATATATTGCTTATCATTAAATGTCAAAAAAAATACTGAAATTCTATTTACAATAAATGAATAATCATGCATAGATAATTTAATAATGTATCATTTTAATAATATTTTAATCACATATTTATAAATATATTGCCTAGCTGTAGATGAGTTTGTTTCTTCATCAGATTTGGAGAAATGTAGCCCTCCATCACTTGCTCACCAATGGATGCTCTGCAGTGAATGGGTGCCGTCAGAATGAGAGTCCAAACAGCTGATAAAAACATCACAATAATCCACAAGTAATCCACACCACTCCAATCCATCTGTTAGCATTTTGTAAAGTGAAAAGCTGTGTGAAACAAATCCATCATTAAAGCATTTTTGACTTTAAACGGTTGCTTCAGGACAAAATACGAGCCCGTAATCGATAATAACTCTTCCTCCAGTGAAAAAGTCCATCCCCTGTTGTTCTCTCACAACAAAATCCACCAACATATTTGTTTAGGTATGTTTTTTGGACTGTTTTTGCTTGTAAATGGTACTTGATCTGTGCAGATTTCTCTCCTGATTCAGATGAGACAACCTTTTCACTGGAGAAAGCAATATTATGGATAAAGGACACCAATAGCAACAGTTTTAAGTTAAAAAATGCCTTAATGATGGCTTGTTTCCTACAATCATGCAGCTTTTTGCTTCACAAGACAAGACATTAATTGATGGACTGGAGTGGTGTGGATTATTGTGATGTTTTTATCAGCTGTTTGGACTCTCATTCTGACGGCACCCATTCACTGCAGAGGATCCATCGGTGAGCAAGTGGTATAATTCTACATTTCTCCAAATCTGATGAAGAAACAAACCCATCTGCATCTTGAATGGCCTGAGGGTGAGTACATTTTCAGTAAATTTGTATTTTTGGGTGAATTATTCCAATAAGCTAAGTGTTTTTTGCATTATTGTGGTTCTGTGTTTTTAAAGGGTTAGTTCACCCAAAAATGAAAAATCTGTCATTAATTACTCACCCTCATGTTGTTCCAAACCCGTAAGACCTTCGTTCATCTTCAGAACACAAATTAAGATATTTCTGATGAATTCTGAGAGTTTATTCAACAATTCGTCTCCTCTGAGTCACCCTAGCGCCATTTTGGAGAGTATACACTGAACGCAAACAGCGTATGTTGTTCTGTGTCAGCCGCACCACACGCATACGTGCCTTGCTGTCTATGGGAGGGTCAGAGAGCTGTCAGAATGCATCAAAAATATCTTAATATGTGTTCTGAAGATGAACGGAGGTCTTACGGGTTTGGAACGACATGAGGGTGAGTAATTAATGACAGAATTTTCATTTTTGGGTGAACTAACCCTTTAAGAGTGAGTCGAACTGAATTTTGCTAAACCAGTGTTATGCTCAGCAGTAATGCAAACAGTGTTTATTTGAAGGGAAGAGCTGAAGTCAGCACGTACCAGTCCACAGTTTTTGCACGCAATGACTCCATTGGTCTCATAGTCCAGGAGTCTCTCCTGTAGTGATGCATTCTCTCGGACTATAAACAGCTCACTGCAGACATCAACAACATTTATTTTTACTGATTTATTACTGTCTTCACCACCATCATTATGCATGATAAACATCATGTACAAACATAAGTGTACATATTTCTGGATTTTCTGTGAAGGCAAAACAAAAGTATTTGTAACTGTGGGTTTTTACCTAAATTGCGGAGTGACATTGACATGGTGCATGTTCTCAATCTTCTCAATGTCTTCTCCAGAGCACACAAACACACTGCACTGCCTGCAGCTCAGGCTGATTTTAGATGGCGGTTCCTTCATCATTCCCTTCTGCAGTTTCTTCTTTATCTTCACCTTCTCCTCCATTATGGCCTGCATCTGAAACTCTCTGATCTACACAAAACCAAATATTGTTTCTTTTAAGTGTACACTTGGTATACTGGAGTGTATTTTTTGAAGTAGATTCTCACTTTCTTCTCGTAGTCGGCTCGATTCATCTTGCACACTTTGGCGATGGCTTTGCTCATCATTTTCTCCCGGTATTCGTTAACACTCTCTCTCTCTGCCACCCCAGATCCTGCCTCCGCCACCAGCGTGTAACTACTGTCCTCTGCTCTTCCTCGACCACGGGCCTGCAGAGAGGGAAAGACAAGTAAGTAGTGACAAACTGATAAATTAGACCGGCTGAATCCCTGAATCCCTCCCAATATTTGGCCATTTTAAAATTGTTTAAAAGTTTGGGGTCAGTGGGATTTAAAAAAAAAGAAATTAATACTTTTATTCAGCATGTATGCATTCAATTGATCAAAAGTGACAGTAAAGACATTTATATTGTTACAAAGAATTTAAATTTCAAATAAATGCTGTTCTTTTTACACTATTTTCATCGAAGAATCCTGGAAAAAAATATTTTCTGTTTCAAAATCAGTTTCCACAAAAATATGAAGCAGCACAACTGTTTTTTCATTGATAATAATCAGAAATGTTTCTTGAGCAGCAAATCAGCATATTAGAATGATTTCTGAAGGATCGTGTGAGACTGAATACTAGAGTGATGATGCTGAAAATTCAGCTTTGCATCCCAGGAGTAAATTATATTTTAAAATATATTCATATAAAAAACTGCTATTTTAAAATGAAATAATATTTCACAATATTACTGTTTTTACTGTATTTATAATCAAATAAATGCAGCCTTGGCGAGCATAAGAGACTAACTTCAAAACCTTTTTTTTGTGAATTTGGAGTAAATGTTGAATCAAATAATGAATAAGCATCATTAAATTATTAAATTTAATGCATGATTTGCTATAAATAAATTGTATTATACCTATATATACACAAGAGCAATATATCGGCCACACTCTGTATTTGAATTGGCCATTAAAAAAATCCCCTATGAGTCAACCAGTATTAAAGGGATAGTTCACCCAAAAATGAAAATTCTGTCATTAATTACTCACCCTCATGTCGTTCCAAACCTGTAAGACCTTCGCTCATCTTCGGAACACAAATTAAGATATTTTTGATGAATTCCGAGAGCTCTCTGACCAGGGGCGGTTCTAGGATTTCATCTTTAGGGGGGCTTAGCCCTCAGAGAGACCATTAGATACAACGATACAAATTAACTAAATAAACAGTATTTTACTGTGCTTATGAAAACTGTATTACTGTATAAATAATTAGACACAATTACCTCTTATAGTTACAGAAGATACTTAGTGAGTGATTCTCATGTTTTTCTTTTGTTGTTTGATTAACATTATTAGCCTAATATAAGAAATGCATGGATCCGTTACTGACACACATCCAATATTTTCTTAACTGTTTGTTTATTTAAGATGTAACCGACTGCATTTACTTGAATACTCGTCAAGACGGCCAGTGAAATAATATTTTGTGTATTTGCTTATTTGCTCGAGAAGACGCGAAAGTGAATGACCCGATCTCATGAAAGTGCGTTTCAATGGCACGATTTTCTGTTTCTATTTGGTGTGCTATTTATACGCAGAAACTGACTTTGGTGTGCATACGATATACGCACATGTTTGACGTGCATATAATACTCAGTTTTTGCGTGCATATGATACGCACTTTATTGGCGTGCATATGATACACATTTTGGCGTATATATAATATGCATCTACCCCACACCTCTAATTCTACCCAGTGCATATCATATGCACGCCAAAGTCCATTTCTGCATATAGACAACGCACCAAATAGAAACAGAAAATCGCGCTATTGATACACATTTTCATGAGACCGGGCTTGATTATTCTATTGAACTCTTTAATCTGATTTTACTCATTCATTCGGATTCCTAAAACACTTTGATTCTCTTACCAGCACCGTATACGGATCTCATACTCACAAACTTGTCAGTCTTGGTCATTAGACAGAGGCGGCTGACTAATATTGTAGATGGCTGTACTCTACTTGCTCCTTCTGGAATGTATTATTTAGTCCCCATAGATCTGAACACAATTAATTAAGGTAAGACCATATCTAACCAGAGGTCATGACCATTCTTCTAAAGGCAACTTTATATAATCATGCTGTGATTCTCACGTACACTTACTTAGAATAATATTACAATAATCAGAGGTTGAGGTTCACCCCTATTTATATCAACAACACACTGTTGTCCTAAATGGAAAACCCATTATTAGCCTCTACAGTCTAAGTAGACATGACTAGTTCCAATTTGTTAGTCGGAGCTCTAAAACATCATTTGATGTGCTCTCTGCTCCACCTAAGCTGCATTTTAGCATTATTAACCCGAGTGTAGATTTGAGGTGTTATGGACTTAATGTAATCTAATCCCAGAGTAAGTCAGAATGAAATCAAATGTAAAGTCAGGTAAATATGTACTGTATTATGCAAATTACATAGTCAATTCAGAGATAATCAATACAAGACATCAATTTCTCAAAGATAAATCCAAGAGTAAAAGATGCATACCTGACTATGGTATGGACACACTCCACACTACGGCTCATCTGGCTACAGAAGTACGCTGATCTTCTTGCAACATTTCCTTAAAGGGGTCATATGATGCGATTTCAATTTTTCCTTTCTCTTTGGAGTGTTACAAGCTCTTGGTGCATAAAGAAGATCTGTAAAGTTGTAAAGACTAAAGTCTCAAATCCAAAGAGATATTCTTTATAAAAGTTAAGAGTCAACCACGCCTACCTAAAACGGCTCGTTCTAACACACCCCAACATACCTACGTCGTTCTGTGGGAAGATATGCATAACGCCGCCCAAATGTTCACGCAAAGAAAGAAGGCGTAACATTTATTCTCGCTATAGTATTGTTGTTGCCGCTGCCGCCATGTCCTGAAGACGCTGTGTGCTTCGTTGTGAAAGCGAAACTACTTTGTTTGACCTTCCAAAAGAGGACGATATCTGTATAAGACGGTCAAATACTTTGATAGATAATGTGATATTGATTGATACTAATTAATAAAATAGCTCAGTTGTTACTGCGAGAGCAGAATAAAGAGAAAAGGCAAAGAATACGTGATACTGCACTGAAAATGCGTATCAATAGCACAATTTTTTTTATTTTACGTGCTATTTATACGCAGAAACTGACTTTGGCGTGCATATGAGATGCAATGGTTAGGTTTAGGGGTGTGGGGAAGGTGCGTATCATAAGCACACCAAATAGAAACAGAAAATCATGCCATTGAAACGCACTTTCATGAGACCAGGCTGGTGTGCTGTCCGTGCAGTGCCTCTCAGTGCGTGTGCGCGCACAGTAATGATCCATCACAGCGCGTGAGTACCACATTGAGATTGATAAACGAGCGAGAATGATAAACTTTCTTGAGGAAGCAGCACTGGCCTGATTGTTCAGATAGCTGATTATAGTTTAAGGGGGGCTGAGACGACAAATAGGGGGGCTGAAGCCCACCTAAAAAGGGTCTAGAACCGCCCCTGTCTCTGACCCTCCCATAGACAGCAATGTAACACGATCAAGGCTCAGAAACGTAGCAAGGACATCGTTAAAATAATCCACGTGACATCAGTGGTTCAACCGTAATTTTACGAAGCTACGAGAATACTTTTTGTGTGCAAAGAAAACAAAAATAACGACTTTATTCAACAATTCATCTCCTCCACATCAGTTATAAGCGCCATTTTGGAGAGTATCACATAAACAATGTATGCTGTTCTGTGTCAGCAGCACCATACGCGGATACGTTGTTTACGCTTTGATCTGAACGAAAACAACGTATCCACGTACATGCGTTGCATATGTTGTTTACGTACGTGATACTCTCAAAAATGGCACTATAGGGTGACGCTGAGGAGACGAATTGTTGAATAAAGTCGTTATTTTTGTTTTCTTTGCGCACAAAAAGTATTCTCGTAGCTTCGTAAAATTACGGTTGAACCACTGATGTCACATGGATTATTTTAACGATGTCCTTACTACATTTCTGAGCCTTGATCGTGGATCCTTGCGGTCTATGGGAGGGTCAGAGAGGTCTCGGAATTCATCAAAAATATCTTAATTTGTGTTCCGAAGATGAACGAAGGTCTTACAGGTTTGGAACGACATGAGGGTGAGTAATTAATGACAAAATGTTTGGGTGAACTATCTCTTTAAGAAGTATGCATATACTTTGTCATTCATGAGATAACATTTCATGTATTATGTACTACATGGTCCATATATATTTGGACACAGGCACAATTTTTTATTATTTTAGCTGCTGACAAAAACATATTCAAGTTACTTTAATTTGAGGGTATTCTCATCAAAATGGAGGAAAGGTTAAGGAATTACAGCTCTTTAATATGTACCTCCTCCCTTTTTCAAGGGACCATAAATAATTGGACAATTGACTCAAAAGCTGTTTCATGGACAGGCGTGGGCTATTCTTTCATAATTTCTACATCAATTAAGCAGGTAAAAGGTCTGGAGTTGATTCTAAGTGTGTCATTTGCATTTGGATCTGAACCCACATCATGCAGTCAAAGGAGCTCTCCATACAAGTGCAACAGACAATTGTTAGACTTCAAAAACAAAACAAATCCATCAGACAGATAGTAGGAACATTCGGAGTGGCCAAATCAACAGTTTGGTACATTCTGAGAAAAAAGAACGCACTGGTGAGCTCAGCAACAAAAAAGGCCTGGACGGCCACAGAGGACAACAGTGGTGGATGATTGGATGATCCTCTCCATGGTAAAGAAAAACCCTTTCACAGCATCCAGCCAAGAGAAGAACACTCTCCAGGAGGCAGGCATGTCACTGTGAAAGTCTACAATCAAGAGAAGACTTCACGAGAACAAATACAGAGGGTTCACCACAAGGTGCAAACAAGGCCAGATTAGACTTTGCCAAAAAACATCTAAAAAGCCAGACCACTTCTGGAAGAGCATTCTTTGGAAATTAAGATGTATAAAAAAAGTATGGAGAAGGCTTGGAACAGCTCATGATCCAAAGCATACAACATCATCTGCGGAGCAGTGTGATGGCATAGGCATGCATGGCTTCCAGTGGCACTGGGTTACTGGTGTTTATTGATGATGTGACGGAAGACAGAATAATTCTTAAGTGTATAGGGATATACTCTCTGCCTGGATTGTCAAATGGAGCAAAGTTGATTGGGCGGCGCTTCATAGTGCAAATGGACGATGAACCAAAACATACAGCAAAAGCAACCCAGGAGTTTTTGTAGGTAAAAAAAGTGGAATATTCTGCAATGGCCAATCAAATGGTCAGTCTCCTGATCTTAACATTTAACTTGCTGAAGACCCACAAACAAACAACAACTGAAGTCAGCTGCAGTAAAGGCCTGGCAAAGCATCACAAAGGAGGAAACCCAGTCTCTGGCGATGTCCATGAGTTCCAGACTTAAGGCAGTCATTGCCTGCAAAGGATTCTCAACAAAATATATTTTTTTTTATTCATGATTATATTTATTTGTCCAATTACATTTGAGCCCGTGAAAATGGGGGGACTGTGTATAAAAATGGTTGTAATTCCTAAGCATTTTATGTTATATTTTTGTTCAACCCCTTGAATTAAAGCTTAAAGTCTGCACTTCAATTTCATCTTCATTGTTTTATTTTTATTTTATTTTACTCTGTTCTGGTGGCATACAGATCTGAAATTATGAAAATTGTGTCAGTGTCCAAATATATATGGACCTGACTGTATATTGTACTATAGTACATAGTACTATATTGTGTGTAAACAAGTGTATCTGGCCTCATAGTGACCTTGTTTCTGTTGGGTAACTATACAGGAAATCACTACATTGAGTTTTTCATTTGATAATGGCTATTTTAAATTGGTATTAGAAGTTGGCCTATTACTTGTTATGAAAACGATGATCACAGACTTTAGCTATAGAATGCTTAAAACTGAATGTTGAAAACTTTTAGTTAGGTTCCTGTTACACATTTAAGTGCTGCAGATGTGATACGTATGAAAACGGCCCGAGAGCCATATGGCATCTAAAGTAAATAATAAACAAAAAACTACAAGCCCTTAGAAACAGGCCAGAAAGTGTAGCATCATGTTGAGCAATAATCTAAAATCACACCTGAATCATGGCGATCTCATTGGTCACAAGGCAATAGCGTATGACGAAATTACATTCGGCGATGTCCAAACCCTCTTCTGCTACAGTGGTGGCTATTAGCAGATTGATTTGGCCATCACGAAACTTGTTCAGCACGTCCTTCTGCTCTGCCTGTAAATGGCAGGACAGTATTTTATTAAAATCCACCAATGCATGGATTTAACTAATGCAAAATATGCCACTAATGCAACCTGGAACAATCATTTAAATGAATGCAGACACATTAGTTCCTGAGTTTGAGAGTGACTTACAGCAGTCATCGGTTTCACCACGCTCTGATCTCCTCCACCGATCAGATAGCTGGCACTGACTCCCACTTCATCAAACTTGGGGTTTTCTTGAATCCACTGGCAGAGAGCGATGGCGCTGAGGCGGGTCCGGGTGAAAATGATGCCTCTCGCTCTCTCTCTGGTGCTGAATTCCTTCAGGATGTTGGTTTTCAGTTGGGCCAGATTGTTGTTTTCATACTGCGGCTTTCCCATCAACTCCTGCAGCTTTGCTTTATTGTCTGTTGAGTATTAAGAGAAACCGATACAAACAGTAAATCAGCATTACCCAACAAGATGTTTAGCGTGTCTGGACACATTTTAAAGGGATTTTTTTTATCTAAAACAGTGTTGTTTTAGTATTATTTTGAATAGCTTTTCAGTTATTTCCAGTTGAATGTTTTCAAATTTAATTTAATTTTAACTGAGTAATTTTATTATGTGCTTTTGTAATTTTTTATTGAGCTTGAATACAATTTTTTCAGTTTTAGTAATTTTATTTTATTTCAGTTAGTTCAGTTGGTAAGCATAATTTCAATTTTTTTAAATGCTTTTTAGACTTAGGATTTTCATCTAATATTTATTTTATTTCAGCTTTATTTCAGTTACATTTTTAAAATGTTTTAGTTAAAAAAGGGTTGTTATTGTTAACTAAAAAAAATTAATTAATTACTTAAAATGAATATAAAATAAAATAAAACTTATTTTATTTCAGATAGTACTTCAGTAACATTTCTAATTTTTGTTTAGTTTAAGTACTAGTACTAAAGTACTAAATTGGAATAAACTAAAAACTAAAACTTAATTAAAAAAACAAAACACTATACAAATATTAAAAATAATAAACTAAAACTAATAAAAATGACAAAAACAACAAAATTACCAAAACTTTTACTAAAATTAAAATGAAAACAGAAAATATAAAAAATAAAACTCAATTCAAAATAACAAAAACTATAATAGGATATACTAAAATAACACTGCTTAACAATATCAATACTGCTCCAAAAATAAAAAAAGTCATCATTTGCTCACTCCCATGTTGTTCCCATGCTTGTTTGTTAGTATAAAGCATCATCCACTTTCATCAAAAGTGCTCAGATATTACTGAACATCTCCTGTTGCGTCTCACGGAATGAAGAAAATAATACAGGATTGGAACAAAATGAGTAAATGATGATAAATATTCTGCTTGGCTCCATGCATTTTTATTTTATTAACAGCTTAAGTAATCACTGGAGCCCCATAAAAGACTATTTCCACTATATTCCAGAGAGCATTGCGTCTGTTTTTATGATACCTTTGAACAAAGTGAAGAGGAATCGCTCAGTGTCTGTGATTGTAACAGTGCCTTCCTCATCGGGGCTGGATTTGGTCTTGAGCTCTTCGTTGTGATATTTGTTGAGGAAGCGGAAGGCGTCTGACATGCGTATGGTGTTGCTCTGATAAAGAGCCTCGTTGTATTGGCGGAGATGTTCGGCGCACACGCGCACCTTCTGATTCTCCTCCTTAGCAGCTGGTGAACAACACAGACAGTCGATATTTATAAAGTGTTCAACAATATAACTCCTGTTAGGCCACAAGATCAGCCCATTAAGGTTCTTTAATTTATAGTCCACTCATTGGACTATTAAATAAAGTATTTAGTGTATCCATAATTGCAAGTAAAAATCCCATTCTTTTTCTCCACAGAGAAAAAGTAGCAATAATACACATTTAAAACAGGCTTACCATGAATTCTGAAGTTATGCAATTTCAACGTCATTTTTAAGCAATCGGGTTTAAGTTACATCATTTGAAGTGCATCATGAGATGAGTAGTTAATACACTTGTCTTGTTCGCTTGTTTCCCCCCCCTGTTTTTCAATTACTTATTTTTGTGTAAAATACTTTAATGTAGGGATTTGTCTCAGAGCTGATTGGTTTGGGTAAATATTTCTTGCAAATATCTATGGTGAAATTGAAAAAAAAAAAAAACGTTATTGTTAACTCAACTTTATTGTTAACTACATTAACTGAAATAAAATTCAATATAAAAAACTTAAACTTATTTTATTTCAGCTAGCTGTCAAGGTAGCATTTTTAATTTTCACTTAACTTAATCTGAAGTACTAAAATAACTAACACTAAATAACCTAAAACCTAATTTAAATAAAAACCTAAAACCTATTTAAATAATAAAAAAAAAAAAATATAAATATAAATATATAAATAAAACAAAAAAAAGATAAAGATAAATAAAACAAAAAAAAGACAAAACTCAACAAAATTACTAAAATTTTAAAGGGGTGGTTCAGTGTTTTTTTTCTAGGCTTGATTGTGTTTATGGGGTGCAGTCTAACATGTGTTAGTGCTTTGTTTTTTAAAAAAACGCATTATTTTTCACATAATTTACTCTCTCTGAGAAACGTGCTGATCAATTTCCTGCTTTTATGAAGCCCCTCCCTCAGAAATAGGCGATGGGCTCTGATTGGTTAGCTAG